ACAGCAGCGTATGATAGTTGACTCACTTGGGTCGATTCTCAACATAATTCCGTACAGTTGTCTGCAGCCGGCTGAGAAACTGTGCATCTGGAGTGCCAAGCAGCTCAATAATTCGTGTCCACTGATCGATATGATCAGCTCCGGGGAACAAAACTCGCCCTCTAATCAGCTCGCCGAATATGCAACCGACCGACCATACGTCAACTAAAGTGATAGTCAATTTGAACGAGTTGCATTCCAAGCAAAAAGATAACTACAGATAAATTCGCATTTTTCAATCTTCAAAGGAAAAAAGAACAGTCAAAATTAGGTTCAATTAGTTTAAATAGCAGTGAGCCTGAATAGTAGTGACTGTTAGGAAATTGTACAAAACCGCTTTTCGGTTGGCAATTGGGGTAATCTGACCCTTCACATATAAGATCATGGCGCTGAACCTAGCAGATATTTCTGTCACACAACAGAAAAAAAAACAATAGGGTACCTTTCTGCTGGCAAATTTAAATGTGCGACGTAATAATAATAAAAAAGTCTTTTTCACACGACAAACAATGGTTTGGGCTGGATTGTAGGCTTTGAATCGTATTCAATAGCCCTCTTTTTCTATTGTGCCAACGAGGTTGTTAGGCAGAACTATTTATGGTATTAGGTAAGGAAGCCACCAACTAAGACAAAGTGGCGTCCTTCCACTTATGAGCTAGTGTACTGGGCAGTTCGCTTCTACCAATCGGAAGTTCCGGATACTCTCCTGATATTGAGGTGGAAGCGGTGCTGTGACAAAGGGCAGGGCACCCTTACCACGCGCACGGCTCGGGGATCAAATCCTGTATCCTGTCCAGGTCAATCATGCCTTCTGCTCTATGGGAACGGTAAATTTGTCTAGAAGTATAATAATACTGATTGGCGCTGTTTGTCGACGGGGGGGGGGGCATTTTGTACTACCATTGCTTCCCTAGTTCCGGTTTACAAATCTCACCCTGGTAAAACTTGTGAACCCTTGTGAAGCTGGTGCAAGATAGTCTAGCCACCATCCTAAAACGTGTTAACTCGAGAAAAGGCTACCTAGATGGGTCGGCACATCTATGGTAAGTAGAATCCTGGTCGTGCAAGTAGTACAGCCCCCAAGCTAGAGACTGTCCCACTCTCACAGCGAGCGAGAAGCGAGCTACAGCCGCTGTAAGTTCTAGTTCTAACGCCTGCTCAGTTGGACCGCCTTACTTGCTAGATGTCCTCCGACGGAGGCCACTCAGTTGTTCTTAGTCGGGGCGGCGGGCATTGCTAATGCCCATGGATAATTCTGCTCCCCTTTATTACAGTTTACTCATGGAAAACAACAAAAACGCAGAGGAAAAACTCTTGGAAGGAAAAAGGAATTTTATCAACGCGGTGTCTGAATTTGGGATTACGGTAGCGCACGTTTTGTGCATCACGAAAATTGCGTCACTCGTGCTTTTTACGCGTTTCACCTCGCGAAATGAGTTGAATTGAATGTATATACCTCCAATGAGTAAACTGTAATAAAGGGGAGCAGAATTATCCATGGGCATTAGCAATGCCCGCCGCCCCGACTAAGAACAACTGAGTGGCCTCCGTCGGAGGACATCTAGCAAGTAAGGCGGTCCAACTGAGCAGGCGTTAGAACTAGAACTTACAGCGGCTGTAGCTCGCTTCTCGCTCGCTGTGGGACAGTCTCTAGCTTGGGGGCTGTACTACTTGCACAAGGAAGGACGACCATGTACTACTCGAGCGCGGGGCTGTCTTCAAGTCTTGGCCGTTGTAAATAGATGCGACACCATTCTACTCCCATTCAGAATCGCAGTGGCTTGCTGAACGCGATGTGGCCTATGCAATGACATGCGAGGGCTCGATGTACAAGTCAGTATGGCGCAGTTTGTCGACGAGGGGGGGGGGGCATTCTGCTTTCCATAGATGTGCCGACCCATCTAGGTAGCCTTTTCTCGAGTTGACACGTTTTAGGATGGTGGCTAGACGATCTTGCACCAGCTTCACAAGGGTTCACAAGTTTTACCAGGGTGAGATTTGTAAACCGGAACTAGGGAAGCAATGGTAGTACAAAATGCCCCCCCCCCGTCGACAAACAGCGCCAATCAGTATTATTATACTTCTAGACAAATTTACCGTTCCCATAGAGCAGAAGGCATGATTGACCTGGACAGGATACAGGATTTGATCCCCGAGCCGTGCGCGTGGTAAGGGTGCCCTGCCCTTTGTCACAGCACCGCTTCCACCTCAATATCAGGAGAGTATCCGGAACTTCCGATTGGTAGAAGCGAACTGCCCAGTACACTAGCCCATAAGTGGAAGGACGCCACTTTGTCTTAGTTGTGGTTCCTTACCTAATACCACGATAAATAGTTCCTGCCTAACAACCTCGTTGGCACAATAGAAAAAGAAGGCTATTGAATACGATTCAAAGCCTACAATCCAGCCCAAACCATTGTTTGTCGTGTGAACAAAGACTTTTTTATTATTACGTTCGCACATTTAAATTTGCCAGCAGAAAGGTACCCTATTGTTTTTTTTTCTGTTGTGTGACAGAAATATCTGCTAGGTTCAGCGCCATGATCTTATATGTGAAGGGTCAGATTACCCCAATTGCCAACCGAAAAGCGGTTTTGTACAATTTCCTAACAGTCACTACTATTCAGGCTCACTGCTATTTAAACTAATTGAACCTAATTTTGACTGTTCTTTTTTCCTTTGAAGATTGAAAAATGCGAATTTATCTGTAGTTATCTTTTTGCTTGGAATGCAACTCGTTCAAATTGACTATCACTTTAGTTGACGTATGGTCGGTCGGTTGCATATTCGGCGAGCTGATTAGAGGGCGAGTTTTGTTCCCCGGAGCTGATCATATCGATCAGTGGACACGAATTATTGAGCTGCTTGGCACTCCAGATGCACAGTTTCTCAGCCGGCTGCAGACAACTGTACGGAATTATGTTGAGAATCGACCCAAGTGAGTCAACTATCATACGCTGGGAGATTCCTCACTTCTGTCTTTGTGAAGCTTCGTGTTGCTAAGACTGGGTGTTATTTTTTTGCTTACGCGGTTGTCAAATAGAGCAGGTTATGAAAGGCCTAACGTTTCTACTGGATCTTTGGAGGCCCAGTCCACCACCGCATGAGCGAATTACGCCTCTTTCGGATCTAAGACTTCGTCATTCTCTATATCATACTAATGTCAGTTAGCAGAGGGAAATTCCGCTCATGCAGTAGTGGACGGGCAAAGGATTCAGTCGGCAAGGGGGGGGGGAGGAAAACGTAGTCGAAACATAAAGCCTTCAATAAGTTGTCCTACATGACAATGTCGCAAGCCCAAAAGAAGTTAGTGGGATAGTTGCACTTGCTTCTCGCAAGATCAATTTTACTCGAAAATATTTTCAGATATCAGCCTGTGCCATTTGAAACGTTGTTTGCTGATAATATGTTCCCTCCTGGTGCTGACAATGCACGTTTAACAGGTCCGTGAGCATCAACTCGACCTTTCAGTATTGGGTTGAACAATAAATAATGGCGGCATTTCGGTACAAAATTTCGCATAAGAGATAGAACGTTTCTCCAATGCATCCTATACTAACTGAAAGAGCAATTTATGATCTCTGAATTTGGGCTTAACTTTTCGGCCCTTGTTCTTGTTCTTTGTTCCTAATTGTACTTCGGCTGGCCCGTGCAAATTAGTGTGTAGGCCATTCAAAAAGCCACCACGCTTTTGAATGGAGGTAGAATGCGTTCCGCATCCCCAGAAAGAAATTCGTTGTTGGCTAAGACTATCCTTCATATTTATGGTAAAGGAACACTGTTCCGTAGAAATGACTGTAGGCAGTGAACAAGATAAATTCCTAGAACGAGTAGGATTGAACGCCTGGTAGGACCGAACGACCCGGACGCTCGCCGTGCCCGCCTGCCCATAAATTGACGAGCGCACCTGATGCTCGTATTACCTCATATGCGAAGTATAGTGAAGTTCGCTGCGGACGGTGGGGCGTGTTAGGCAGGATTAGTGCCAAACCCGTTCTCCACCAGCTGTTAAAGCGAGCAAGTGACAAGACTGTATCATGTCGTTCGTGTCACTTGTTTCCCACACTGTCGCGTAACTGCTTCAACAACTGGCAGAGAACGGGTTTTTCACCGTGGCACACTCATAATACGCTCAACCGCCCGCAGCGAACTACACTATAAATATGAAGCGAAGACACTGATATGAAGAGGGTGCGGTGTTGCATGGATATATGAGTACATACGTGCAGCCGTATCTACCGTAGCGGTTATTGGCAAGATGCCTACGGGAAACTCGTCCGAAATTGTTTTCTGGGTTGTTAGAACAAGGCTTTTTTTCGCAGGTTCTTAATCGTTCCACTGTCTTTCGCCATCCCCCTATATAGCATCACTGCTACCATTTTAATACCGAATACCAGATTATCGTGCCTTATGCCTTCAAAAGCGGTTAAAGCGATCTGGAACTGCGCATTTTTAAGTACGCCGCATTTTGACTTAAATACGCATGGCACTGGGTGCCCCCTTAGAAGCGATGCTCACCTTTACGCCAAGCTTTTGATCGCTCCCATCAAGAGAAGTTAGCACAGAGTGAGATTGTGGAATGAATTCTACATCTCTTTTAATCCCCCTCGATCTGACGTAGGAATTCAGGAATAAGCTGATTCAGTAAGCTTCTACGCGAGCTCACTACAGGGGGGGGGGGGCAAAAAAAGTCACTTCGACCGAGTCACATATCAGCAAAGTTTTCGCTGCCCAGACAGAGGACGTGGATACGAGTACCAGGGCGGAAGATACCCAAGATGTTCCTCTATAAGCAGGAGCTGGCTCTCGCCCATCACCTTCATGTACACCAAAATATGAAGTCATCTCCAGTCGCAGCCTGACTGGAGAAGACCTTGGAATTCATGTCACCTCCAAACAGCTGCGAAACTTCTAGTATGGAGTCACCCATGGATAGCTACCTGGAGACCAGTACTCTCGATCTGGAAGACCTCCAACATCGAGCAGCTCCGACAACGTCGCCGGTCTAGGACATCATCTTCACCGCAGTCGCCAAGGCGCGAGTTGATGGTATGGACCGGAGTACCTGGAATGGGAAGACCGATATTTTCTTTGTAGACCCGGACTGAAGGTGAGCGCTGGCGGTTACATCGAGCAACTCGAGAAGAATATCCTCCCTACATGTCGTCGCCCGTACCTTCTTGGAAACTTTGTACTGCTACAGGTTTGGGTGCCACCACATGGAATCGAAGGGCGTTGGAAAAACTCTCGCCTACTTGGAATGGAAGGGCGTTTCGTACCTGAAGAAGATGTAATATTTGAGTATGTCCCCTGACCTGAACCCTCTCAATTACCGGGTTCGGGCGGAGCTCAACAAGGTGGTCTACAGTGGCCGAGAAATCAACTATCTCGCTGAAGCCAGGTACCGAATCACGGTTGCGTGGCAGAATCTCTCGACGGCGCTCCTCCAGAAGGCTGTGGCGGAGTATCATGATAGTATTTAATATGCTCTTAATATGGTGGTAGAATGTCCGATCAGAATTTAATAAAGTGTAACTTATAACGCCTCGAATGTCAAGGAAGAAAAGTGACTTTCTGCTCCCCCCCCCCCATTGAGCACCGGGTGACACGCTTGTTTGCGTGGTCAAAATTGAAATCGTTTGAACCAGTTCTGAGCCGTCTCAAGAGGCATTGCTTCTTGCCCATTTATTTAAGAGCCTAGGCTTTGATCTTCTAATCAAACGCAAAGAAGAGAAGGTGTCAAAAATGCTTTTTCATCGGTTTGGAACTCCACTCCAATCTAGAAATGAAATTGAATACCCAAAAAAACTAAGCGAAGTGCCCCGAATATCAAGGAATCCTCTATCAGACGGTATAGGTTACATTGACTAAACATTTCACCTTTTACTTAAAATTTCGATTTAGAAAAAAACGCTATTCAATGGTAAGTAATTAATCTACAGTAGGGTTTTCTACATATACTTGATTTAGCTGCCAAAGCTCGGGATCTACTTGCTCGAATGTTAGTGATCGACCCGGAGAAAAGAATATCTGTCGATGATGCCTTATCCCACGAATATGTGAATGTGTGGTATGATGCCTCTGAAGTAAGTGAAATGTGACGGATGTGTGATTGCTTTTTTATTAAATCATTTTGCTTTATACTCACATCTTAGAGAGCAGATCTGAGCTCACGGTTTATACTGAGCTGCAGTTGTAGTATAAAGCTTGAGCATGTTGTGAAATCATTACTTGTATTCATGACCCATACATGAGAAAAGTGACCACTCATCATATGCCGCTTTGGTGCCATTTCGGTGTGAAAACTGTGAAAATAAGGTTGTAAATAAGAAGAAGACATGAGATAGGTCTAGCTTGAAATGACCGCTTAGCAGTGTGCAAGACAACTCGCTCTATATAGTACACTCCAGAAGATAGTTCATGTGATAGCTTAAAATCTTTCAATATCATCTTTGCCTTAATTCTGTATAATACACCCTTGAATACTTAGACTACAAAATTGGAGGCATCCACCATTAAAAATGAAAGCGAAGTTTGAAAAAGTTTTTTTAGGTGCATGCTCCTCCACCAGGCCGCTATGATCCAACAGTAGACGGGGAACATACTGTAGACGAATGGAGAGGTAACATTATACATATTCTCAGTCTGTTTTGCAAAGAGAAGTTTCTTTTTATAATTCTTTTCGTACTGGCGGTCCTATTGTGGTGACAATACCGACCGCATAAGACACACTGCACCACGAACGCTAATTTTTTTAATTCTATACCTTTGGCATAACTACATTTCGCCCTCAATAAGGCAGTCACGACCGCCTCCCTAAAATACAGCCCCTCTCGTTCAGGAAAATGTAATAAAGGCAAGAGTGATTACGTAGAGCACGGGCGCGGTCGGCCAAAATGGAAAAGCGATTCCGATTTGAGCCCGCTGCCCCAACAAACCACAACTGAGTGCCCCTACATTAGATGTGGAGAGGGCGTTCGTTGGGGTGGGCGGTTCCGTGCGCAGATGTCAGAACTAGAACTTTCGGCGGCTGTAGCACCCTCTTCACTCGATGTGTAGCCGCGAAAGTAGGACAATATCTGAACTTGCGGGCTGGACGTCTGCACAAGGAAGGACTACTACAAATTACTTGAGCGCAGGGGCTGGCCTCAATATTTGCAGTGGTAAGGTGTACAAACATTACAATTATGACTCGTAAAGACCGCTCATTCGCAAGAACGATTGTAGCGCAGTGGTATTTTTCGGCTGGCCAGCAGAAGCAGCTGTTTCGACTTCCACAAGTGCCGAAGTTTTCGCTTCATCATCTATGAAAGCTCCAATCATCATTTTTAATATTTTTTAAAGCCGCACTATATAAGCTTTCGTTCCGGTCAAAGTGTCGATTTGGCTGAAACCTGTCTAATCATAAGGGTAGTTGGGCCTTCCAAACCCGGATTTCACATTCGTTTGGGTAAAATCGCCTAGCGCCCATACTAAAGGCGCCCTGGTGACCAGTCCTGAACATATTTGGGGCTTTGCCTGCCCATAGCTCGCTTGTGAGATGCAGGTAGCAATTTCATTTCTGTCATTTCAAACTCTATCGAATCATCTATGTCTCCATTTAAAGTTCCATGGTATTTTGATGGACCTCCCTTGTAGCGTTCTCCACCGGCTACATCATTATTGGGAACTACCAAAGGGGAGGGGTGTACTCAAAAAAAATTTCACATCCTGATGCAGTACCCTTAATATGCATCTCTGGAACGATAACAGTTGCGGAAAAAACCGTCCTGCACATTAATATTGTCGATATATTCTTGTTCAGCGCAACATAATTATGGGTTCGAATAAAATTACACCTTGCATTCAGGGTGAAAACCAAAATTTGGGTGCCAGTGGGTCTGAGTGCGAGGTAATAAATACATGTTTTAGCGATGCTGTTTGCGGAGCTGCAGAATTACTACAGGACGCACGACGTGTACGGTGTGACACAGCGTCGATAAACGGGTTGTATTGCTCTGTATTTGACCTCTGATAGTCAACGTTTTCCCGCTAACTCTGGAAAAAGGATTCCGGCTTTTTGTTTTCCAAGTCCTAACTCCTCTTTTTATTACAGAATATTCCGTGTTGAGGTGAGAATGTTTGTCCTCAAGCCTTAACTAAACGCTCATCGTTGTGAGTTATTGCTACAAGTTGCAATTGTTATGAGAAATGTAACTTTTAATTTTGTTATGTATACCTTATATGAGAGATTCTTGTCTCAAAGAGTTCTGTGATTCTGGCCACGATAAGCTTTACCGTCTAGTTCATTTCTCTTGTTTTGTAAGCTCGATATTACATAGATTGGTTTCGAAGACGAAGTGTTCCATGAATACATTGTTGTTCTGTGTTGCAGTCAATGTTGCCTTCGATAAACAAATTTATGAAACATGGATGTGAGTTTTTGTTCTGGTAGATTGTTAACTTGTTTTATTCCAGTCTGGCTAACAATCTCTAACCATAAGATTGCCCCAGTTCCGCGGCTTCACAATAAGCAACAAAGGCGCTGAGGCTCTCATAAGTGGCAGTACTCGCGCCTTCATAGTTCCCCCACCCCATGGCGAGCTTTTGGAAACGATGTGTTGCATGTCGTATGAGTCCATACATGGACCAAATAGTTAAGGTTTATTTTCGCTGGGCGTTACTGGGAATGCCGAAAAGGAGTTGAAAAATATTTATAATGGGCGATTTCAAGCATTTTGTTCGGCTCCGCTCTGGCTGTAGCGTCGAGTATGTAGTTCATGTGTTTTTTTTTTCGAAGACAGTTCCCGCGATCAAGTGGTCAGCAAGATACCTCCGTGCATTCGGCACCCCGCGCCCCACCCAGAGCTCAAGGGCTACGCTCTGTCGCTAGTTCACTTTTAACACCCGTCTTCCCTTTTTTCCAACAGTTAGATGATATCAGCATTCGATGCACAGAAATGTAGTGAGCTGAGGGGGCAGGATATCGCTCTGTAGCATACTTGAATTTTCACATTATTTTGCGTTGTTTTTCATGCCTAGTTAAAGACAGTCCCCTCGGTAAAGTGTTACGGGTAATAGGTGCTCAGTCATGATCGATTAACAGAAAGAAGCGAGAAAAAACTTCGGGGAATACTAGACAGAGACCCCCCCCATGGCGGTGGGATGGATCAGCTCGTCGGACGTCAAGCCTATCAGCAGGATTCGACGTGCAGCTAATTCACGGCAAGAGCACAGGAAAGTACCTTACGACGCTCCAAGCAACGCTGTGTTCACGCGCACTTCCGATTAAAAGCCGTTGCTTTGCAGGGTGAAAGTGATCATGGTTGCAATAATCACGCGTCTCTAGCTTCTTTATCTCGCCGTTTCGAGTGACGAAGTGGAATATTTCTGCAAATGCGGAGAATGATGCCGAATACAAGGAGGTATCAGGCGGACCACTTGATCGCGATAAATGTCTTCGAAAACACATGAACTACATACTCGACGCTACAGCCAGAGCGGAGCCGAACAAAATGCTCAAAATCGCCCATTTTAGCATTTTTTTTACTCCTTTTTGGCATTCCTAGTAGCGCCCAGCAAATGTAAACCTTATCTGCGTGGTCCATGTATGGACTCACACGACATGCCGACCTCTCTCGTTAGACTAATTGTTAGTTCCTTGTCTGAACGACCTCTCTCGTTAGACTTATTGTTAGTTCCTTCCTTGCTGTTAAGCACACTGTACGACGATTTCTCCCCACTGTTACCGGTAATTCGCGATTTCTTCGGTCCCTAGAAGCATTCATGATCCCCAAATCATTCTCGAATTTTCTTTCACACGTGCTTTTGGGACGGTCTCGTGTTTTGTCGGCTCCTGGGAGAATCCAGTTTATGGCGCACCCGTGGAAACCGATGTTGTGACAAGCGTAAAATGTAGCCAGCCATTCGAAGCTTATAACAGAAGTCGCTAAACATAGAGTTGCTTTCGCATTCCGGGTACAGACATTCGTTTCAGAATCACTATCGCGCGCGACCACGCTTCCGATATAGGCGAACTTGTCTACACTCTCCAGCGATATAATGAGGCGAACTTGTCGACACTCTCCAGCGACGTAGTGCCAGTGTTCATGTCCACTTGTCAGCTGAAGAGACCCACCTCCGTGACCTCGACCTATTTGCACTGAATCGCAGGCCTATCGTGTTTGCTTCCTTGGTGAATCTCGTGCCTCCTCTCCCCTACACCCGAGCGATTCCCCATCCCTTGAATCACAGTCCTACCTGCACCTTCCAAAGCAAGCTGCTGGGTCAGGATGCTAACAGGAAAAAGCCTAACTGCAATCAAATGTTCTCCGATATCTTCCCATGGAAAGTGAAACGTATCATTAGTGCACCAGGGTGGCACATCATACGTTCGTATCACTACCTATTAGGAGTGCGCAGAGATGCCCCCTCTCACGATGAACTTTGCCGACGACCTTCTTAGACGGCGTTCGGACTTCGCGACAGCAGCGCTTCGGTCGCGCGTTCGACGCGATCTATCGCGCATACTTTTCACTGGGTCCATCGACGGAAGCATGCGCGATCGACGCTGTTATGAAGTCTGAACGATGCCTTTTCGACCGTATAGCTTCAGTAATTACTATGACCTGGGCCTGTTCCCTTTGAAATGGATTGGCAGCTCGAGGAACGGTTGCTACGATGTTGGGTAAACTTATGCTTATATCATTACCCTCTATGTATGGTGAGAAACAGAAAGTTTTTGATTGTGTGGACTTATTATATTCGCGGAACAGCGAAAAAAATGGTTCCTCAAAGCATATCTGATGTAGTTAGGCATAAAACATTCCAGAAAAGCTTACCACAACTTCCTTCTTGAAGAAATCACTTAATCACAACATTTTTCCAGAAGGTACGATAAGTTTGAAATAGCGAAATTTGAAGCGTTTTGCATTTATAGTACTCAACTTATTACGGAATCTTAGTCCTGCATGGGGAAAGCGATCACAATAAACGTTTAAAGGCAGCTCGCACGATGAATTTCTAAGACGTGTAAGACTAATACGCCTAGCAGGACTGAATTCGGTGCCTCTGAGACGAAATACACCACATGTTTCATCAAGCTTGCATGACGGCTTCTAGCCAGAAAATAACGCGGAGAATTTGGGGCGAACCCAGTTCTTCACCTTCCAGTAGGAATCAAACAATTCTTCGTTCAGAAATAATGTAGAACGGAGGTCTACACGGCATGGAAAACCAAGATTCATCTTTCAAGTGAGTACCGAAGCTTTGTTGCAGCTCAGTTACACCTAAAATTCGCCTATCGCGAAAATCACAACAATAGCGCGGGGAATTTTGAGCGAACGGAAGTACAACATCTTTGCTGTAGTTTGATTACAGCAAAAATCCACCCGTCGCGGATTTCCATTCTAAAGTCAGCTTCAGCTGCAGCAGGAGGACGTCCCCCTAGAAAGGCCACATTTTCACCTAGAGAGCACAGTAGCTCTCCCGTACACCTCCTCATGCATTGAAGCAGGAACTGCAGCACAGAGGGACTGATCAACACTTCCACGCCATCTGTTCAACTTCCTTTCCGAACGCTCACCTATCGTGCAAGCTACGTCGATGCCCTATTCAGACTGACCTCTTCAAATACGACCTCCTGTCGCGGATTCCGCAACGTATGCTTGACCCTGGCTTTCAAGAGTGACGATGGCGGCACGCGGCTTATCATTCCCTATCAGTACTTATCCCTTTCCGTCACCCACCAATAGTGTTTCTCACTCATCACATATGCCACCTGTTGTAAGTGACCTCCTACTGTAGCTGTGACTTGCGCCATGGAGCGTTCTGTCCCCCACCAATAGTGTTCCCGATCCAACACCTATATCACCTGCAGTGACTGACTTCCTACGATTGCTGCCGCGCGTGTTATAAATTTGGTAACCTTCGCCTTCTATAGCCCTTATCACGGTGATAACGTTCTGTCGCCCACCAGCGGTATCCCGTACCACCTACTGCACCTCTATTTAGAAATGACTTTCCACAGTTTCTGTGACCCGCGGTATGAATTCGGTGCAGGGCACGCCGTCGCGGTGATCACCTTCTGCTAAATACGACCCTTCCCCCTAGAAAGGTCTCGATACGACCCCTCCCCTTGTCCGCTGCTAATCTGGTAGCAGCGGACCAGATCAGCAGCGGACAAACAACTACCGAAAAATGGAAGATCTGCGAAAATAAACGACAAAAAGACGCGACGTTAATCAAGGATAAATATGAGAAACACGATGAAAATGAGCCATAATAAATCATAAATAAATTAAGAAAAGTAATAAATTATAAATGAGCATCAAAAGACACAAGGAAAGAAAGAAAATGCGGGAAAATGCGAGTGACAGCACTTGAATATTTATTGTTCGCGGTCATTCAAAGGTGAGCGCGCTTTACGCAGTGGTATTGGAGCGAGCTATTTCACGACCCGGAGCCAGTTTCAAGCCAAACACTCGAAAAGTACCCCCCCCTCACTTGAACACCCATAACTTTTTTGAGAGTAGAGCTTTTGGAGAGGGAAAGCAGGAATGTGCACTGGGTTGGCACTTGTTACCTGAGTTTGAGTCAATCTCGAAAAAAATTCCTTTTCGAGAGATTTTTTTTCGTTGTGATCCGGTCGTGATCATCGGGGTCATTTACAAGCTCTTACGCTTTGAACAGCCACAACAAGCTTCATACAGGGCCATTCAAAAAAAAGTGCAGAAATTCCGAAGGTTTCTACTTTTTGGCAAAACTTTCATTTTATCCCTAGGCCTGCTATTCGAAAAAAATCCCCCGTTGTGATCACAACGCAACCCCTGCCGGACGACACGAAAAACCCACCCATCCGACGCCATACCACTTCCAGTTCGTTTGAAGGCTTTGGTATGCTTCTAAAACACGTTTTCGCCAGGGATATCAGGAAATAGTTCATTGGAGCGCCAACAAGCATCACCTCTGTAATGCGCCATGCATAGGGCTTTCACGCAAGTGTTGGGAAGGTTCAACCTCTAGATAAGGCTTCCTACGCGCAAGCCATGCACTCCTGCGATCACAAATCCGTAAGTGCAATCTCATCTGTTTATTATTCGTCACGTCGTAGCTTCTTTGGTTTGTATATTAATTCATGACGTCGTTGTGGGGGGTCATCGTATTTTCTGTCATCGCCCGTTCCCCATTCTGCGCTGGCAGGTTGCTTCTGTCTTGCGCGTGTCTCTTCAGGGGTTCTTCACATGGATAAGTCTTTCATCATTGAAGCTGAACGACATCTGGGTATCGCTGCACCCTCACTTCAGAAAGGGCCCTGCGCTTACGACCCCCGCCCCTCCCTCGAGGTCAAATACCACCCTGTTGTGATCATCACAACGTGGCGTGCCCTGATTTGGTGGGGAGGCGGACAAGAGAATCGTAAATTGCCGCTTCGTCGCGCGCGGCAATGGGCGCGACGTTTCTTCGATTTGCACTACCCTTTCGAAGAGCATTGGATTTTATGTAGACAAGGACACGGTAGACAATTATGCCTATTCTTGCTCATAAATTGTCTACCTCGACTATTACCATCTAAAATCGTCGTCATTATCGGACGCGACGTCGCACGCAATGTCCCACTGGCGCGGCGAATTACGATTCCCTCGTCACATACCCAATTTGGTGACTCTCCTCTTGTGAAGCCAATGAATCATTTTGCGGAAGGACAAATATACATACATACAGGCCGAAAAACCGACACATAAAGTTACTGCTTTATAGAATGGTGATAATTATAAACTAATGCACTTAAACGCGGTGATTAGAATAACGATAGCTGAGGTTGAGCCAATTTCAGATTCTGTTCCTCCTTATGCGTCTACATCACAAGGCGATAAATTGAGCTGATTGGATTCCTTCGGGTAGCAATGAAACGTGTGATCAGAGAAAAACTCTCGATAAACAACAGCAGGAACCCTAAAGGCAATCCAATTCAAATTATGAAAGCATAGCAATGTGCGTGAAATTTGTCCACTCTAGTTATGCAAGGGGTATCATATGGTGCATAATGTGCGAACTCTGAACCAGTTATAACATATAATGTGATTATAACTAATGCATTTAAACGTGGTGATAAGAATGACGATAGTTGAGTTTAAAGCTAATTTCAGACTCTACTGTTCCTTGTGCATATACATCAAAAGGCTATAAATGGAGCTAATTGGATTTCTTCGGGTAGCAACAAGCATTACTCATATCCCAAATGATGCTGATATGCGAGCCACTCATACAATGTAGCCTAACAATCGAACATTCGAAATCGTCAAACTAAGATATATCTGATACACAAGTGACCAGCTTCCTTCCATCGAATGTCGTTTTGAATTGTTCCGGAATGGGGAATTCGATCTGAACATGAACAGCAGTAATAACGTTCCCATTATAGAGTGCTCTACAAAACTCGTTACAACATGGCTGCTAGTTCAGAACAAAATTAGCGATATTAGCAAATAACGCCCCATATCGTAGAGTATAAGACACATCCGCGTCAAGGCACACCTTCCGTCTTAACAAGTAAATGTTTCGCGAAAAAAATGTGTTGCACAGAACAAAATTGTTCACGACTTCAACCCTTTCGCGACAATGTCCGCCACTGATAATGGACACTTCGAAATTTACAACAAATTTTGGAAAGCGGGTGGAGTCGTATGACGGGTGTGGCTCATACGACTTCACCCACTTTCCAAAATCGAGGAGGGGGTTGCAGTAAAGTGATCCGATCAGTTTCCTGTCCGGTGTAGAGGGTGGGCTAGAACTGATTCGAAACGTGGTGAATTCAGTGTGAAAAGTATTAAGTTTGTTCTGAAATATGGCGAATTTAAATTAAAAAGTAGGGACTTTGTTTGGAAAAAGACGTATTTGGAGAAAAGTGGTAAATTTGAAAGAATAATGGTGCAGCCTTTTAGCCCAAGAGGAAGCTTTGCGGAAGGTTTTCGCATTCTCGAGTGAAACGTGCTTCAAACGATGGAGGATGAAGGGGTCAACTATGAGCATTTCTACTCCACTCCACACTTTTCACAGCAACTTTATAACTGGTCGGGAAATGATTTAGTTTTGCAATTTAATTCCATTCAAAGAAACAGAGCTATACCACATAAAAAAGCAGTTACCACAATCGACAGCAAAGAAACCTACATAATCACCATCCCCTTTCGGTATGAGTACATTCATCTCGCTAGATTTACTCGTTACGATTTCAGCATCTTTCGAAGATTCACTGAGATAAACTTGACAGCCGTCTGTTTTTTGAATAGAAATTGTTGGCATCTCGCCCAAGGTCTGAAACAGAACAGCACTCGATTAAATACGCCGAAAAGAAGTTGTGACCGTACCTGTATCTCTACACGCTGACAATTAATAGTTTCGCACTGAGCAACCACAGCATCGAATACGACTGATGTTTTGCGACAGCTATCAAGCGTGATTGAATTCAGCTTTCCCTTCACCTAAACTCAATATATCGTCCATCCGTTCAATAAATACGGCACACGTAAACATGAAGTCTGATGACACTGCCCTCCAAAGCTGGAAATATGCAGCCGCGTCGCTCATCCCGCAGCCGCTGTAGGATTTTGCGAACCACACACAATTTTAAGAATTGCCAAGGAAGTTATCGTTCGCGTAACAGAAACCGGCGACAATGAATTAGGAAATTTATTATTCAGTCGGCTCGCTGGCTGACGCCGGCGCGCTTTTTTTCTGTGATACGGTCCGGCTTCGCCGCGCTTACCTTTCTCTAATATATGAATATCCAACTAAATAATATCCGGCTTGTCTCTTATTTGAAGAGAATGCCAACGCTCCTTCACCACTAACATTGTACCTGCTATTTTCTACTATCGCGTATGGAATGGCGGTAAGGAGCATTGGTCACGTGAACACAAGATAGAAAAGACTGGTACCAATCAAGCATTCAAACATACAAAGCAAGTAAGCGCGACGGAGCAACGCCCCCCCCCCCCGGCAAGACCGGGCCAAATCACAGAGGAGGCGCGCCGGCGTCAACCGGCGATCCGATTGGTACCGCTGGTAAAGAGTACGGCTGTCGACGCACTGAGTCTCAGTAAAGGTAGCCCGTGCTTAAGAGCACCATCTGCCCACTGTGGACGCAAGTATAAGCACCTCGTGCTTGAAGGCACACTACGCCCTTTGTGGGCTGGTCTAATAACACATCACAGATATACTCAACACTCGTTATAACTTTCTCATCTGCAACGATTTTATATGATATGCAAAGTCACTCAAGTGCGAATTATATTTAAAATTTTGTAGCAAGCGCCGCCCATTATTTAGGATGCCTCCACATTTTGTCCGCTAAGCCCTTAGGGACTGCAATCTGCTTGTCCCCAGTGCATATTCTGCTCTGCAACCAATTCTTGAATTTTTGTCTTTTGCCCCGCTTATCTCGACATATGCTTCGCCTGTGCGTGCTATGTCACTTCAAGTCGAGCTCTTGCTTTCCTTTCCTCACCTTTTGCCGATGTGGAGTGCTCCGGGAAGATTTCACAGAATTTTCTTTCACCCCGCCCACCTGGCCGCACGCTCCGCGCACAATGGGTGGGCCTCGCATCGACTCATATCTCACGCTCATGTGCACTTGTAGTCGTATGGTACGAACTACTGCGCCTCAACTCTTTAATGGGAGACAAACCGACTGATCACCTGGCTGAAAGAAGAAAGTCCGCCTCTCGCGACACATATCTTCGAGCCAGGAAATGCCCGCATAGAGCTCGACGCCAGTTCACTTGCGACGACTTTATGCAACTCTCCTCTCAATTCTGGGAAAGATTAACATCGTCGCTTTCCGCAATCGGCGAACCTCCTGACTGATCGATCAGAAGACAATAGATGGGGTGTGTTCGCAGTTAATGGTCGACAACGGATGTAAAATAGGTGCATCGAATGTGACAATCTACCCTCAGGTTACACCGTATAAACGGCCATATTAATCTGAGACATTTCGTACGAGTTATTGTAACTTAAGAGTTTGCAAAACTGGACTGCAGGTACTCATTATACAAACTGTAAAATATAGATCAAAATAGAACGTACCGCTATCACGGAATCCTCGCATTTGTAAATGTACACGGTTTGCTTTTTGTTAGCCACATTAACAACCACACTGGGATTGCCAACAATGAATTCCTTAATTACAGAGGTTGAAAACCAGACGAAAAAATTCGTTAACAATACAAAAAGTTGGAAGACTCGCAAAGTCAGAAACCAATGGGTAAGTTGCCAGGGCATATAATCTTGTGGAAATCACAACGAGGAGGGAGGGGGAGGAGGTCGTAAGATAAGGGGTCAGGCAGAAATGAAGAATAATAACGAGAAGACGGTAAAGTTTTCGAGCTCCCTATTGACTCCGAATTTTCACAGGTACATACACCACTTATGTCTACCTTCTTTAAGGTCGTGTGGGGTGCGCAAATACGCCTTGCCCCATCGTACGTTCTTCATCAAGGAGATGAGGTGCTCGGGAACATTCCGTTCTCTGCGTCCTTTAGAATACAGAACGCGGAAACTACCAAAGCCTCCTGGAGATCCAGGAAGTCGAGGTAGCAATATTGACGTTTCTCTCGATAGCTCTCCAGTCAAGCGATGAAGATGGCATCCGTAGTAGAGCTCTCGAGCATGAAACCGAACTGCTACTGAATCTCTCGTACAGCTTCATGGTATGTGCGGTCAGCCTAATGCCCCGATAGTTGAAACAGTGCTTAGAGGTGCAGTGCAATCGTCCCCTTCCGCTTGAAGATGGGACGATTGTACTGCACCTTCCAAGCATCCAGCATTTTCCACTGGGCGACTCTAGCACGTTGTAGGGACGATTGGTTACTTTACTGGCGCCCGCTCGAGCGACTCTATGATCGTCGAGAGCGCAGGTGATACAGGTGAAAATTTCAGTTTTTACTTCGCTAGAGGGTTTGACGACTTCGCTCCAGGATTTTATGACCCGACGAGATTTTATGATCCAACTTCATAGCCAACCATCTTGTCACAGAACACTCAATCGCACCACCACATGCAAAGATTTCGAAGGAAAAAAATGTATACTAACCACGTTCCACTGTTTCCCGTCCTTCAACTCAACACGTGGGGTGTTACGGATTGGTACAGTTGTTTTAGATGCTGAGGGGTGTTCCGGATGGTTCTTACGAATATTGTCCTGTGAAGGCTGAAATCGATGAGATCACTGCGTTAAACATGTCTTGTTGTCAACTGTAGGAACAGATGCTAGTTACTTTTGGCTATTATTGTTTGCATTATTGGATGTAGAATGTGTAGCTTACTTCATGTGACGAGAGCAAGGTGCAATATGGTTAGGTAAATGCTACTGATTACCGTTCACATGTAACCATTAATGCGGATATGGTCAAATTAATATGAATGCTACAAGCAGGAGCTCTGTATACCTCAAATGGTAGGTCTTCAACTTCCCACTTACTTTGAAGCATGAGACCTATGTACAGTAGCGAAAAAAAAACTTGGAACAAGCCAAAGTGCTGCATTTTTCAACAAATTTGTTAGACTTTTATGAATGACATGTGAAAACTTCACTTGCTCAATTTAAGCACGCCTGAAAAGGCTCTTCTGAAAAAAAAGAATTGGTTGACCTCAGTTGTCCTAAAGGCAGAATAGCGAAAAGTATTGGAAAAGGGCACACCGCTAGAATATTGATATTGGATACATTCTGAAAGTTGTGGAGTTCTGGAAAAAATAGAAGGCTGGGAGGTTAATACAAAAAAGTAGAAGGCGAAGGAACGAACACCCAGCAATCACGTTCATTCACTCACGGTTAAGTGGGACTAATTCATATTCGCTGAGCAAGTCGCCCGTCGGCAGAAGGGTGCGAAACTTCAACATCGGAAAAAATCCCAAGTGATAAAGCTTTCATCTTTTCAGACAAAGCTAGTACCACTTATCCAGCCTCATAGGGATGAAGAGCTTGGTGGGCTCGGACGGAAGCCGATTGAAGATTTGACCCTGGAACCGCGCACGGTATTCGCTCAGTCGCACTACGCCATATCCATTACACAAAGTTATATAACCACACTACAGAACTAGCTACTTCTCCTAATATTGCTGGGTAAAGGAAAACAAAGCAACCCAAAAGAGCTGAAAATTCCGTTTCTTGGCTGGTTCCAAGTTTTTTTTCCGCGACTATAAATTGATAGAGCCTGGAACGATGTTTACAAGTATGAAACCAAAGCTGCTAACCATACTGCAGGAGCGAATACAGCAAGTTGAGGTTTCAAGAAATGCGTATGTGGTGACGTATCAGCATGGCTGACTCCAAGACGGTTACCCTCGGGGAAGTGTTCAATAAGTTTTTGGTCGGCGATGTTTTGTCGCCGGCGCCTAAGTCGCGTACGACAGAGGTTTTCGCATCGAACTGATAGGATACAGATGTTCTGCGAGTTAAGCTAGCGCTGTCAACTAGTTTTCGCCTGAACCGAGATTCTGACTGACCCAATCCTTCAGATGCACTATGCACTGAAAGATGAGTTGACCTGGATTCAAAAAAGGTTCGCTATGACCAGCTCTAGTTCGATTCATCTTTCGAACACCTTTCGAAGTTTGAGCCGAAATCTTGATTCAGCCAAAAACTAGCTCCGGGGTTTGACTCTCCGAGTGAATATCACATCAGTTTGAACGAAAAACGCCCGCGTTACGAGCGCCGGTACGACGCCCTTTTTCCAACGTAGCCGCCAGACCTGTAGCGCGTGTATCAGGCATTTTTTTGGTCGAATGAACTGTCGTCTATGTTCAGAGGACCAGACTACCCGCTGAGATCCGATCCCTTGGACGCGAATAACAAGCCCATTCGACGGTTATCTGGCTTCTAGCAAAATCAAAGTTGGCCGCAAGCTTCGAAACATGTTGTCACAAAGGTGGGAAGCGCCCAGCTCTGTTGGTTACCTTCCACGTCAAATCCTCCGTCTCCAAAAAGTGGTTTGAATGCTCTTATCCGAGGTATGAGTCGGAATTTTTGTGCCAACTGGAAGCAGACCTGTTGCACCTGTGAAGCTAGAGACTTAACCTCAGATCACGACCACACTGCCATTCGGCGGGTCATCCATACTGGTACGACATCAATGTGTTTCTGGTGAACTTTGACTCTTGAAACTCGCTTATGAGGTACAGGTAGCAGCTCTGGTTTCGATATGTGTAATCCGCCCCAGGACTTTACCAGTTTAGGTCTCCGTTTATAGTTCCATGGGAAGCAAGAGATCTTCCCAAGATAATTCCACAGTTCCACTTCGGCTGAAACATGCACATCAAACCACGTTTCGCATAGATTATGAAGGTTGTGATCAAAGGCGGCGAGCTCACGTATTAACCCAAACGCATCTTAGTTATTGTTGCAGAAAGTCGACTTCTCGTGTTCCGAAATTTTGAGAACAGCATGAAGATTCATCACAGCAACTGGCAGGAAAAAGCGTGCGTTAAGAAACATATATTCGTCACGATTTTCCATAGGTTTCGATTACATGTGGCTACATGAAGGAAGAACTACAGTGCGAAGTGCAATGCAATTCCAAACGCGACTAAGCGAATAAGAAACAAGAATACTAACATGCTCACGTAAGGCAGGATTTTTATGGGTCTGCATATCGGCGGTGACCCTTCTAAGTCCTGCCGTGATAGCTTCACCCTTGTTGATCTCAGCGAAGAGGGCATCTCTACCACCCTTGTCAGCGTCGACCGTTGTAGGAGCAGCGAACACTGAGAGATTATTTTCCTCAAAAATTCATTTGAAAAAAATACAGTTGTTAGGAAAACCAGCAACCCTATAATTACCATTTCACAACAGGATGGCGATCGAAAGAATGTAGAATGGGCCTGGTCATGGAAAAGCCTCCTGGAGGCTATGCAAACATTCGTTCGGCAGGTTCACACCACTGGTCTCGTTTGGAATAGTGCACCTGTAAGTTGCAGTGAATTCGTTTAGTTTCATGTCTTCACTCGTGATTCCTGGTTTTGTATGTTGAGATCATGAGTCTCTCAAACGCCACTTTTTTCGGGTGGAGAGTCGCCCACGCGTCTCGCAGACCACATGGTCTAATCAATTGCCTTGTCTGCTAACCCTTTCACTTCTTTCTTGTCGTAACTGAAGTTCATGTTCGCCTGTGGATACAAGTAACCCCCAAACCATCCACATTGAGCATCGCGCGGGCAGAGTATAAAGACGGCACATGCTGTCCCTCGGCCTCGTTCCCGTGATATTTGAGCGGAGAAAGTGGTATGCTACTCAGCTGCGGACCCATTCACCTCACACATGGGAGAAACCGTTCTCATAAGTGAGTGAACAATTTGTCTTCAAAGTATGTATAGTTATCGCACGTTAGTTTGTAATCATCTACGGATGCTTTATTTGCGTGCTTCAATGTTACGTAAGTCGAAATTGAAGTTTAAATTTGACAACCGATTTCAGGGCGGTCAGCTTGTAGGTAACTTTAAGGAACATAACCGATAATTTTTGCACAGAAAGTTTCCAACTTCGCTGTACCTTTTCCCAACAGAAATCTTTGACTTTCAGGGTTACTCACCGCCGAGTAACAGTCGCATGACAGTGAATCGCAGTGCTGCTGGGAACCCAGCACCGCCTCCTCCACCACCACCTCCTCCTTCGTGTTCCGAAATTTTGTCAGCATTATCGAGGAAT